TGAATGGCTTATTAAACAAAAGCATTGGGTCTCATTCCTAGAAATTCTGATTCTCGTAGGCCTGGAGTAGGACCCCCAAATTAGCATCTCTTAGAAATTCCCAGATGATGCTGAAATGGCTGGACCAGGAACCAGACTGTGAATAGCACAAATCTACACAAACAAATTAAAGTGACTTTTAGTAATTTGAACAATGTCAAATATAGTGCCTTAGGAAATAAGTGATAATGGGTTGGGCATCAACCTTTGTAAATACAAACAGAAAACAGCCACCTTTCGACTACCTTCTGTGTAAACAGATGCAAAGACCATAACAGTAACAACAAAAGGCATTTATTGAGTTTTGACTATGTGCTGCACTTTTTTCTAAGTCCTTCACACATATTAAATTACTTTTACATTTCTATCTTATGACAGTCTTAAAAACTAATAATAACATTCTCCAGATCATCTCAATGACTATCTTATATTAACATTCAAATTAATTGCCCTCATTTTTGTTTGTGCCAGTGATTTCATTAACAGCAAAAAGTATGACTAGATTATCAAGAGCCATGAGAAAATGGCCGGGGTAAATGTAAGATGCATGACAGGACCCTGCTTAAGGATGGCCAAATGGAGCTCTGCATGAAACAAGGTTTGGATGAACCAATTGTTTGAACAGACAAATGAAGTAGAGAATTGAAGCCTCATGTGCTATGTGGTGCAGGCATAACAAACCCAAAAGAACCTGTGCTTTAGTAACATTTTGAGCAACAAAACCACATAACTAACACATTTTATTGGCTTTTCTAGTTTTGTTGATATTTAATTTTGTAAATTTGGTTTTGTTTTTTGGCTATATAGAAACTTTTCATTGTATGAAAAAACACAATAGCACAAGGAATTTTATAGAAGCAATAGGAGTCAGCATTAGAAGCACCCAAGAAACAGCTTCCTTCAAGAAAGCTCTAGCTGGGCATGGTGGAGCATGCCTGAATCCTAGTGGCTCCAGAGGCTGAGGCAGGAAGATGGAGAGTTCAAAGCCAGCCTCAGCAAGAGCAAGGTGCTAAGCAACTCAGTGAGACCCTGTCTCTAAATAAAATGCAAAATAGGGCTGAGGATGTGGCTCAGTGGTCGAGTACCCATGAGTTCAATCCCCAGTACTGCCCCCTACCAAAAACAAAGAAAAAAGAAAGTTCCAGAGGCAGCTGAAGTTTGAGAACTTCTGCATAATAGTACTTTCTATCTCAGGGTTCACAGTTGGTGAGATTTTTGTTCCCCAAGAACAAAAATTTTTTGTTGTAAAATTTGGGGTTTGTCACTGGCATCAAGTGGGGCTTGCTACTGGTATCTGCTAAACATACAAAACATTCCCCACAGCAAAGTTAGGCAGCCTGAAATGTCAATAGGGACAAGGTTTAGAAACTCTTGTCTGTCATTCTCTTTCATTCAGTAAGAGGGGCTACTTATGAAATTTACAAACTACTGCAGAAGACAAGACACACAGACATGAAATAATTAGAATAGTGTAAGAAATGGTGCTAAAGTATTTGAAGAAGGACCTCAGAAGCCACATAATACAATTTCTCATGCAATGCAGAAATTTCCTGTTGGGGACTCAAGCTCCTTCTTCATCTACCTCTTTTTGAATTCTAATATTGAGGAGCTTGTTACTTGGTATCACCAGAGGCAGGAAGCCAATCTCATTGCTGAAATTCCCTCATGTTAGTATCAGAAAATTAATTCTTGAATTAAGCCCCAAATGTGCCATCCTATAAGCTTCATTTTTTGGTTCTAGTTTTGCTTTCTAGAGTAACAGCCCTGGCCACTAGTTGACTAGAGATACTACAAAGTCTTGTACATGGGTCAGCAGTTGGTTTCTCAAAACAACCTGGAGAACATTTATTTGTGTTTATTTTTTTAATTTTTTTATTTGGTTTATTTTTTATTTTTGTTTATTTTAAACCAGGAAATATTTTGGCTTGCTGTCTAACTAGCAATTCCTTCCAGATTTATTCCAACCTCCTTTTTTTTTTTTTAATTCAACGTCACATAAGTAGGCAGGTCTCTGTTTCCATAACTCTGCCCATTCAAAAAAATTGTCACTAGATCTAGGGACTGAGAGGTAGTATTTGCTTTTTATCATTTGAAGCAAGAAAGGATTAAATGTTATAAAAACCTTTGGGATGTGCTTTTACAAAGTGGAGATATATTATATTGGCGGACTAATTAAGTACCAGCAATGAATGTAAATTTTCATTATGGTATTCAAAAGACATTTACTTCATACTTACTTTATATCAGGCCCATATATCCTGTATGGGCTTCTCTTTCCTGACCAAAATCATGTAACTAACAAATAAATTTTATTATTTTATTGGTTTTGTAATTTTATTTATATTGAATTTTTAAAATTTGGATTCATTCTTTTGTTATATAGAAATCTTTCATTACATTAAAAAATACCACAAGGAAATTGATAAAAGCAATATGAGTCAACATTAGAAGCATCCAAGAAAGATCTTCTTTCAAGGAAGCTCCAGATGTACCTCATGTTTTTATCTTAAAAGAATGTTGGGTTTCATCAAATGCTTTTTCTGTCTCTATTGAGATGATCAGATGATTTTCCCGCTTCAATCTCTTGATATGATGTGTTTCATTGATTTACATTGAACCATCCTTGCATCCTTCAATATCAACTTGGTCATGGTGAATGACCAAGTAACCCAATTTAAAAAATGGGCAAGCTGATCAGAATAAACGCTTCTCAAAAGAAGACATATAAATAGCAAGATATATGAAAAAAGTGTTCACTATCATTAGCTATCAGGGAAATGCAAACTGAAATTACAATAGATATCATCTCACCCTGGTTAGAATGACAATTACCTAAAAATCACTGGCAAGAATATGCCACAAAAGGAACTCTCGTACACTGTGAGTGGGGATGTAAATTAGTATAACCATTACGGAGAACAATATGGAAGTTCCTCAAAAAACTAAAAATACATCTATCAGCTATCCCACTGTTGGGTCACATGTTCAAAAGAAATGAAATAAGCATATCAAAAAGATACCTGTAAAACAGTTTTTCAAACCTGAGAAAATCTCATTATCTTTCTTGGATATAAAAGCATATAAGGAAATTGAATGATTCAATAAACCATTTCCTGAAAGAAAAAAAAAAGATACCTACATACCCATGTTTATTTATTTAAGCACTATTCACTATTCACAGTAGCCAAGGTATGGAATCGTCTTAGGTGCTCATCAACAGATGAATGGATAATTAAAATGTGGGATAGATAGATAGATAGATAGATAGATAGATAGATAGACAGACAGATAGATAGATATAGATATAATGATATCCATATATATATAGTAAAATATTATTCAGCTCTGAAGAAAAATGAAATAATGTCTTTTGCTGCAAAATGGATGGGAATAGAGGACATGATATTAAGTGAAATAGGCTAGACACAAAAAGACAAGAATTTCATGTTTCTTCTCACATGTAGAAGTAAAAAAAAAAAAAAGGCCAGTGTGGTGGCCACACCTATAATCCCAGTGGTTCAGGAGGCTAAGGCAGGAGGATCAAAAGTTCAAAGCCAGCCTCAGTAAAAGCAAGGTGCTAACCAACTAAGTGAGACCCTGTCTCTAAATAAAATACAAAATAGGGCTGGAGATGTGGCTCAGTGGTCAAGTGGCCCTGAGTTCAATCTCTAGTACCCCCCATCCCCCCAAATTGACCTGAATATAGAATAGGGATTGCTAGAGATAGAGAGGGGAAGAAAAGGTACATAAAGGGAGGCAGGATTTAATCAGTATACATCATATGTAAGTATTGAAATATCACACTGACCCTCATTAACAAGTACAATTAGTACATTTTAATCAAAACTAAAAACAGTGCTTTAAAATTCTAAGAAAATCACACTCAGTTTTTAAGGGGCAATTATTATGGTTTAATGTAATCTGATCATTTAAACTTTCAAAGGTTTAAAATGTCCTTGTTCTATTTTTATGTGACTGGATCCTCTGTTTATTTTTGAAGCAATCATTAACATCTGGAAACCCCAGTTTGGCACATTATCCAATAGATTCTGTTCAAAGGATAATTCTTATTCAGCTTTCAATGTCCTGCAAGCTAGCAGAGTACCTACACGTTCTAAAAATATTGCTGAATGATTAAAGACAAAACTAAATAGATGAACTTATGAATTCACTCTTCTTTTCCTTTGAAATTTTACAAACTTATTATCATTGCCCTTACTGGGAGAGTAATAATAAGGGTCTTTTAGTCATTTTTATATTTAATATATTTTATCCATTTGGAATAGATTGTTATAGATTCTTCTATAGCATTGTTCACAGATCTATAATCTAAATGAAATATTTGTTGAATTTAAGCTATTATTACTTACTTCTTTGCCCATTTTCTTCCTCAATTTCTTTCTCAGTTAACTAAAGTATACTGAAAATATTTTAATCTCCAGTACCCCCCCATCCCCTCCAAATTGACCTGAATATAGAATAGGGATTGCTAGACATAGAGAGGGGAAGAAAAGATACATAAAGGGAGACAGGATTTAATAATAATTGCCCCTTAAAATGTATGCTGAAACATTTATTGAATGTTAATCAAGGGGAATGAAGTCTCATTCCCCTTTATCTGAATTTTAAAAGAAATGAGTTCAACGGTTTCTCTTTTCTTAAAAAATAAACAGCAAAAAAACAAACCCACAACTCCCTAAACTTGGTCAAAATTCCTTTTAACCATCTGTGAGGTTGTGAATATGGGAAAGATTATTTATATCTAAGCTAAATACTCTGATGTGCTTTTCCCAAAGATCAATGGCAGTCCAATAAAGATAGAGAAGATAGGAGGAGGCAGAAGCAGAGATGGAAAAATGGGAAGTTATCTGAGAAAAAGGAAGCATCCAGCTCAAGTGATTTCAATAGCCAATAGAGTAGAACTTGAACAAAGAGAAAACTGCCAATCACAGGCTGCTTACCTTTGCACCCCTCACAGGTCAGTGCATTGTAATGGTATCCAGATGCTCTGTCTCCACAAACAACACACAGCTCATCCCCTTTAATTCTCCCTGCGGATGTACCCATTCGGGGCTTCTTTGTTGCAGGCATCTCTGCCATCTCAGTCTCTCCCTGGTACAGAGTCTCAGCTGGCATTCGTCTGAGTTCATATATTCCAGGAGAATACCACTCTTCAGGCTGCTGGGGGTAGACACCCAGGTTGGAATAATAGGATGATGAGGAAATCTGTGGTTGAACTTGGGGAAACTGAACATTGTTGTATTGTGAATATGGCTCCACATCTAGATTCTGTCCCAGTGGACCTGCTGCTTGTTCTGTTAGCATACCTGAATAAAAGCAACAAACCTCAAATTAATGTCATTATTCTAGAAATTAAAGAGGTAGTTTAGCATAATTGTTGGGAGTGTCGTGGGGAATTGTGGAAGCTGATATTTTTGCATTATTTTCTGGGGTAGGAGATTATACCATCTTTTTACCGTTTGTGATTTTTTTCCATGTACATGTATTATTTAAATTACTATAAAACAAAGGGGGAGCTAAGGAAAGAAACAAGAAAACAGTACTTGGGATCTATCTGGATTCAAATCCCTGTTCTGTTACTCGTTATCTGTGTGCAGTTGATGATGTCTTTAACATCTTTAAGTCTGTTTTCTCTTCATAATAAGTCTGTTTTCTTGTTGAATTGATGTAAGTATGAAATGAGAATGTTTGCTGAGTACTTTGTTAATTTTGGCACATAAGAAATACCCAATAAATTATATCTGACACTAAAATAGGAATAATAATTACTGTTCCTATGATCATTATTATTCAATGGGCTACTTATATACAAAACCACTAGGTAACAAAAAACTATCAGGTTATAAAAATGTCTCTATTTCCCATAAACCTAAATTATAGCTCTTTAGAAAATAAAAATATTTGAATTTTGCAAAATGCTAAAAAAAATTTAATAAATCAAATTATATTGTGTGCATATATGTATGAATATGTAACAGTGAATCTCACTGATATATATAATCAATGAATTTTTTTAAAAAGCAGATGCAGAATGTAATACACATAAATAAATAAGAGAGTATGTAAATGTGTGTGATTCATCAAAGTATTGTTAGATAACCCTAAACCAAAATCCCAGCCCCATCTCTTATGAACAGTGACACTTTAAGCAAATTACTTGTATTGATGAAGCTCAGTTTTCATAGCTGCAAGATTGGAATGAAAATATCTATATCCAAGGTTATATAGATCATTGAATGAGATAATACAGATTCACATTTTTGGGATCACATATGTTTTAGAATTTCAATTTTTTTTTATTTCAGAATAGAATGCAGTGGTATTTATATAACACTCTGAGACAAACCAAGAGTCAAATATAATATCTTCCACAGTGAAATGCATGAATAGTCAAATAAAGTACAATAAGTAATAACCGTAAATACTTTCACACCCATTTAGATGCAGTTTTGGCACCAAATAAGTTTGTGCCAAACTTAAAAAAAAAAAAAAAAAAAAAGCTTTCTAATGCTTTTTGGAATTTGAAATAGGCAATTTTTTTTTAAATTTTTTATTGTGGGTTGTTCAAAACATTACAAATTTCTTGACATATCATATTCCATACTTTGATTCAAGTGGGTTATGAACTCCCACCTTCACCCCATACACAGATTGCAGAATAGAATTCTATATAGGTAGAATGCTCTTTGAAGTACTCAAAAGATGCTTAATATTATTACTATTGTTGGCAGAAAATTTTATAAAGTCCTTCCTAGACCAGGTACTTATTTGTATACTCTCTTTTCCCACAAAATCCCATGATGTAGATAATATTATTATGGCCCACTTACAAATAACCTGTGGCAGCCATTTGTAAACATTAATCATTTGGGGGCTGGAGTTGTGGCTCAATGGTAGGGTGTTTGCCTGGCATGTGAGAGGCCTGAGTTCAATCCTCAGCACTGCACATAAACAAATAAATAAAATAAAAGATCCATTGACCTTTTTTTTTTTTTTTAAAGTCAAACAATTTTACTCCTACGTACCTAAGTAACTGAGATTTGAACTTTGGGAGTCTGACCTCAGAACCCCTGCCCTGAATCACACTCTGGGAGAATTTCAGATATAAGATGTTTCAAAAGCATGAAAGGCAAAGCTTTCTTCTTCTTCTGCTCTCTTACTTGAGTTTGTTACTCCTTTCAGTGCCTCTGTTTGCATGTACCTTGCAACTAAGCCTGTGAGGCTCTGCCTCTCCCCAGGCATTTTCCATGTTCCATCTTCTCTATTCTTCTTCTTTTTTTAATCTGTAGATGGACATAATACCTTTATTTTATTTATTTATATTGGTGCTGAGGATTGAACCCAGCGCCTCCCACTTGCTAGGCAAGTGCTCTACCACTGAACTACAACCCTACTCCCCATTTGTTCATCTGTAAAGAGAAGATTGTGCTAGATGATGTTCTAATTCTTCTTAATTCTAAAATCTTCATAAACATACGACTAATAGTTCATAAGCATCAGAATTCAAGACTTTTCTACAATGGCAAAGTGGAGTATATACATATTAAATGTTGTCAAAAAGAATGTGCTCTGCCATGACCCAGGAAATGACTAACAGCACACAATATACAGTATCTGTGAAAAAATCAATTTCCGTTCTTTCATGCCCAACTTATCCACATAAGCCAGCAGAAAAATCAGTACAGCTGACAGATGAAAAATTTTGGTAATGTTGCTTTGCCTTAGGACCCACAAAATGGAAAAATAAAAATATGAAATGATTATAGAAAAAAAGATAAAATATAAGCAAAATTGTGATCCGTTTCATAACCAAATGTGACTAAAATCTCCAGAGTGAATAGGATGGAAAAGAACTTAAAAAATAATAAAAGCATTAGTTTTGCTCATCCCTAGATTTTATCCTCCAGCATATTCCCTTAATTCTTCCCCTACAGCCCAGGTTCTCTCAAATACAAGGTTAAGCAACTCACCCACAGTCAAATAACCAATTACTGAAGGAATCTGGATTCTGTAGAATCCAAGGAAATGGACAATTTTTTTTTCTCCTCTCAAACAATTTAAGATCTCTGAGCATTATTTCAACAAAACAAATATTTCCATAATCAAGAAACATAATATTCAACTCAGGCCAGATAATATTGATGTCATATTGATTCTCTGGAATCATCTAAATTAACATAGGACGTTTTACAAAGATATAGATAATATGATGCCAAACAATAAAGTGGCAAAAATATGAGAATGGTACATAATAATAGTAAATAATGCTTCTATTCTCAAAGTATTTCACTGTGTGCTCACAAACTAGAGAGGTAAATATGCATAAAGCTTACAAGCAAAGAAACAACATGGCCAACATATTCCAAAATGGTTGGACCAGAACAATATCCACTATTATATGGAGTTCTTAAACAATTGCCTACCCTTTGCAGATTCAATTTCTTCCATAAAATGGGACCATTAACCCCCAGTCCTGCTATCTTAGATGGTAGTTCTGATATAAAATACAGTTGTTAAGAAAAAAGTTTGATAAGTCCAGTACCACTAAAAGACAAGCTGTTTCCCAAAGATCTTAGAAAAATCCCTATTTTAATGATAGCCAATTGATAGCTAATTCATACTTATTAACACAATCTGTTTTGATGACACAAATATGAGACAGTTCTTTCATTATAAATGTGTATTGAACACTTACTTGCTACTGGCAGACATTGTGTGAGGCTCTGAGGACAGAAAAGGATCTAGCCTTTCTCTCATTTGTGTGTTAAGGGATGGGAATGACAAGGAACTAAGAAAGCAAATAAAGACATCTTGTGACACAGAAGAAAAGGGGGTGGGGGGCAGGTAAAGTGATTCAAGTTTAAGGTATGTGATTTTTTTTTTTAGTGGATTTTAAGGAGTCAGAAAATCTCCATGAAAGTTTAGGTAAGAGTTTTTAAATAAGAACACATGGATAAACTCCAGGGGAGTCTGAGAATCCCTGAAAAGGAAAACAGAATTCTGAGTAGGTTTCTAGCTTTTGATAGACTCTCTAAAGGACTATCATCTAAAGGAACTGCCTGAGATGATGGGTTCCATACCTATAAATATGGTGACTATTAACCCCATGGGGATACCGAACACTCAAGATGTGGCTAGTGATATGAAGGAATTAAATTTTTGAATCTACTTAATTCTAAGTAAATAAAATTTAAATAGTCACATGTGGCTCATGATTGTCATATCAGACATATAAAAAGTTTGTGACCAGAACCACTGTGCACCCAAGTGGGAGAATCAGGTTCACAATAATAATAGCAGCATTTTCCCATGACTTCAGTTTCTGATACTCCTGAGAAAGAGTCCAGGTTCCATCTAGTTGTTGTTGTTGTTGTTGTTTTATCTCTGGCACAATGCTGACCATAGCAAATGTCTAGAGACTGTTTATTGAATCAAAGTGAACAGAAAAATTGCCTTTTTGCCTTCCTTCATTTCCTATAATCCATGGTGTCTTGGCTGGACCGCACGACTTCATTTGTGAAGTTATTTGCTGATCCTGGCATCAGGCCTTTGTGATGTTGGTGCCTCTCCCTGCCTTGTCAGCTGAATGACCTCCTCCGCTGAGTTCTGTCCCAGTTCCCTCAGGTGGAATTAATCTCTCCTACCCGCTGTACACACCTCTACTATAGTGCTTATCTAAAGCACGTACACTTTTATTTGTTCAAGGCTTTTCTTCCATGCTAAACTTGAGGTGGTATGAAAACTACTTAAGAGTGTACTAGGAGTGGGAAAATCTGCATTCAAGTCACCTGCAGCTTCCTAGATGTGTGAACTAGGGAAAGACATTGAACTTCTTTAAGCTTCTATTTCTTCCTCCTTAAAGCTAGAATAATGTAGCTCCTATATCAAAGGTGGTAATACGGATGCACTAACATAAAGAATATAAAGTGATGGTGCCTGTGCAAACATTATGCATACATTCAGTACATTTTTGTTATTATTGTGGTTAGTCTCTGAACTTTTGAGGAGAAAATAATCAGATTATATTCCCTTTCTATTGTTTCTGGCACCTGACACAAAGTCTGACACATAGTAAATTTTTAATAAACGTGTGTTAAATTGAAAGGAATAGAAAATTTGCTTCCCCAGTCTTCCAACTAATTCCATTTCTGAATATGGTGTCAATCACTCTGAGACATCACATTTAAACAAAATGGTATGCTGCTAAGTCTGTGGTCAAAAATACATTCATAATTATAATTATCATAAAAATGTTTAGAATTTTTTTTTTGGTGGAGATTTTAAAAGGAGGGTTTCTGCTTTGAGA